ACACCATAAACATGTATGTAGGCTGGGTTTTGGCCTGCTCAACTGAGACTTCAAAGAGTGTTACTAGTGAAGAGGTGTACTTTACGCTCAGCTTCTGAACTTCCACGCTAATGAAGAAGGTCTGAAGGGGCAATGGTTTTATGCAGGTTTGCTTCAACAGCAGCAGAAATCCAGATAAAGTTTTTCCCCCCTCAAAACAGTGATTATGAAGAACCAAGCAGATGTAGACACAGGGGATGGGACTTGACCAAACACCCTTTGAGTCTCACATAGCATGGAAAGGTTTAGATTCAATCTTTTCTACTTCAGTGAATAAATATCTAAAGTATAACTAATTATTTTTGAACTGTAGATCAGAAAAATGAAATGTAAAATTTCAATGCAATAATGGGATGTTTGACTAGGACTTCTCATTTCCCTCCCCTCTTTCTCTATAATGTGGATTATAAACTCTTTGGGAAGAGAGGTATGGCAGAAATCAACAGTCTTCTGGCATCATTAAGACTAACACATCCGATATTGCATAAACTTTTATGGATCACAGTCCACTTTTTCTCATGACTACAAGCCATGAAAGCTTATGCAGTAATATATTTGTTAGCCTTAAAATGCTCTTTGCTTTTTGCTGCAAAAAATTAGCATGGCTACATTAATATATAAAATATTAGTATGTACCAACAAGCTCACTCTCAGCTATCACAAATATCATTTAATATTATCAGTTTTTGACATATGTTATCTTCTTTTAATAGTAAAAAGAAACTCATACACAAATGTATTTCATTATATCCACAGACGTGTGAAAATATTTGATAGATCAATAGTAGGCACCAATTTGTTCACTACATTTAGCAGTGGCTATCTAAGTTGCTTAGGTCTCCAGCCATTTTTTGTACAGCTACCTGGCCAGCGGGGAGAGTGGTAATGGATTTTCCCCTCCTTGCCTTTCTAAGATCCCAGAAGTAATGCTATGGCTAAAACTCAGACACCCACCCACCCACATAATCGAACAACAAAAAACTTAGAATGAAAGAAACCTATAACAGAGGAAGATTTAGACACCTTCACAAGTTATCTACAAGAAAATCAATAGTCACAAATTGGAAGGGAACTCTTTTCTCCATTATTTTCTGCAGCAGGAATGAATCATTGGAAGACAATAGCCTGGAGGAGTTGTATAATAGGTAAAAAATTAGAGGGAAATGAACAGATGGGAGGTGAGAGCTAAGTGAATAGAAGCTTTGCAATGTGGCCTGATTGATTGGTTATAGTTTAAAAGGCACAAAGCTCAACTAGAGGAAGAAACCCAGCAGGATGGTCATGGTTCCCTCCTCCCCCACACTTCGGTTATAGCAAATAAGGCTGTTAAGAATACAGAAGTAGAATAATAGGACAGAAATAAAAAGCTGGGGAGTTGGAGATTATGGCTTTCACACAGTATTTTTATTAAACTGAGACTAACTTTAAAGCTGAGTTTGATTTGTTTAATATTTCAAGGAAACTTGTTCAATGCTTACAGATAAAAAGTTATAATTCAAAGCTGTAATTATGCAAATTTAAAAGGCTGCTTATCTTAATCAAATGCCTCTGGGCAGCTAACAAGCACATAAAAGTAATTGAAAAAAATAGTAAAAGATTAGAGAGAAAAAATCACAATCAACCAGGGCAAAACCACAAACCAAATTTTATTAACATCCTGGCCCTAAGGACTGAGGGAAGAGCCGGGTTTTAAGGCCTTTCAAAAGGCCAACAGGTTGGGGCCATCCAGCACTCAGGGGGAAGGCTGTTCCACAGTGCAGATACCAGAATAGAGATGATACTTCTAGGTCATCCTAGATGACACTGTTTCACAGAAGGGATCTGGAACATGCTCACTTTGCTAAATCAAGTGAGATGGGGAGAAACTACCAGAGTCGGGCAGTCTCTCAACTATCCTAGTTCTGTGCCCACACCTTGAATTGCACCCAGAATGGTGCAGCTCAATGGTGTTATGTGGGCATAACACTCTGTGCTACTGCATTCTGGACCAGCTTCGAGTTTCCAAATGCCCTTCCAGGGCATCCCCATGTATAGCACATTGCAGTAGTCCAATCAAGGGGCCACTAAGGCATGAATGACCTGAGCAGAACCTGTCAGTCCAGAAACAGGTGCAACAGATGCACAAAATGGATTTGTGCAAGTGCTTTCTTGGCTACAGCTGTCACCTGTTCCTCAAGCAGGAGCCCAGGAGGACCCTTAAATTACACACTAACTCAGACTGTCAGAGTGCTACCCCATCCAGAGTTAATGATGAAAACTCTCTAGATCTGGGAGTCCCTATAATCTACAGCCACTTAATCTTGCTAGAGTTGAATCAGAGCCTGTTCCTCCCCATCTGGATCCTCACAACCCAGAACAGAGATACATAATTGAGTATCATGAACATACTGATGATACTTAACCCTGTGCTGATGAGATAATCCATTGGATGGCCTCATCCAGCAGTTTTATGTAACTATTAAATAGGAGTTGGGAGAGTTGAGCCCTGAAGCAACCCACAAATCATGGCTTAGGACTCTTTTTCCTGACACTGAGTGGAACTGGCTTCAGAGAAAGGAGGAGAACCACCAAGGAACCATGACCCCATTCCCAAACCCTTCAGCAGATCTAGACAGATACCATGGTCTTATTGAAAGTATTGGAAGTCACTGAGAGATCATGAAGGGCCAGGATGGGAACATCACTCCCATCCCTGGCCTGCCAGAAGTCATCCACAACGCTGTCTCAGTGCTATGCCCCAGCCTGAACCCATCCTGAAAAGAATCCAGATAATCTGTTTTCTGCAGGATCCTTTGGAGCTGTGAGCCTAAAAAGGGAAGGTTGAAGACTGGATGAAAATTGCCAAGCACTCTTGGATGCAGCAACAGCCTCTTGAGAAGAGGCAAACCACTTCCTTCAAAGCAGGCTGCACGATCCTTCACTCCCCTGCAAGGAGACATTCATTGCTATCTGAACCCAATGACGTGCTGTCTCCCAGGAGGATTAACCAACCAGTTTGGATATGGGTATAAAACACAGGTGGCAGGGCTCAAAATCCCAAGGATCCTATCCATTTCCTAGGACCAACAGGCTGAAACACTCCACAGATAATTGAGCCAGACCATGCCTCAGTCAATTCCATAGGCCTGCCCAGCCAGATTTCAACCACAAGCAACTTTATGCCACCAGTGCTGAGACTAATTCTCATAGCAACCCTGCAGAGACTCTCCTGGCCCCTCTCTAAAGGAACCTTTTTATTTCCTTGGAATACCTACTGGAACCATTCTTAGAAATCAAGGTGATGCTGGAAATGGATGCTTTTCTAGCAGTATACCAACTTCCCATGTCTTAACTTTTAAAAGTTTCCTATAATTAAAAAACAGACAATTGGAATAGGAATAGGAAGTTTGGTGGGAAACAAGGGAAGTGCTCAAAGGTATCACATTTACCCAACCTTGATCTAAACTGTTTAATTACAGAGACCTTTACTAATTAAGCCGTGGGTTTCCTACAACAATTGATGCACCAACGCTGAATAGTTATCAAAGTACAACAGCCAAGTTTGAATTGAGAACAACTTTTCTTGGTCAAAACTATGGATGGTGATCTAGGAGGCAGGGGAGGCCCCATCTGCTGTAGTTTCATAGCTTAACTGCTCTCCATAAAGCACAATGCATAGCAGGAGCAGAACAGTCTTTTAGGAGTTTCTAGATACTGTGACCTTCCAGATGTCCATGAGCTACAAGCTCCAGTATTCCTCAGCATTGGTCATTTTGGCTTGGCCTGCCGGGAATTGTTTATCCCAATCTGATTACATATATGCCGTTTTGGCAGCAGCCTCCTTTCCTCAGAATGTCATTATGCAAATGACAGACAAGAGTGAGTAGACATTTTGGTCCTTAAGGGAGCAGGTACAGTTTGGATTTTTTTAACTAGGTGTAATGTTAGCCACTTCTAGTACTAGAGAAAGGCACTCCTAGGCCATCTATGCAGGAACATGCAGAATCATATTGTCACAGATCTTGCTATTTCTTTACCAATAAACTACCCTGCAATGTTGCCCGGATTATTGTAATATGAAGCTATTTTGGGTGACCCATAATGGACAAACTAATCATGGGAAATGTAAATGTTTGCTCTTCATTCCATGCCATTTTCCTAGTTGAGCCTAGGATTGGAATGTCATTCTCTCAGGCTCTTTCTCTTGCAAATTAGCTTTGGAAAAGCAGTAGATGTTTTCAATTCACTGCAAATGATCCAAGACTTAATTTGAGGGTTAGAAAGTTATAAAAATCAAAGAAACCTCCCCCTTTTCTCTCACTGAAGAGGCCATTTGTCCTTGGAAAGAAAACAGCAATGTTTGCAACAAGCTGGAACTGATTTCCTATTCCCAAGACTGTTTTTACTAATAGTTTTAAGAAGAGGAGAACATGGCAGCTTTACTATTTTTACCCAGTAGTGATGTTGAAGTAACTGCTGGTGATTATTTATGTGGAACATAATTTGTACTTTCTAAATTTAGCTAATACTTAAATGGCATTTAACATGAATGAATCACAATCCACCATTAATTCAAATCTGTGTGGTAAATCTCACAGCGATTTGGAACACAATGTTCAGTTATTGTTACATACATTATTTGAAAACTGAAGTGGTGCATTTAAAATACCACAGTACAAAGATCTCTCACCTGCAATTGGCATTACTATAAAGCAATTCTTTGGAAGGAACCGATCCCCACCTCTCCAATGCAAAATGCTGGTATTCCTTCCTATCTGAACTGAGACTGCCCCAAGTTCTCATGATAATTCCTGAACCAAATTGGATCCCAAATACTTGTTTTTTCAGGAGTGAAAAGATATATAGATGCTAGCTATCTCTTTGAAATAATACATGGATTTGGTATCCAGAAAGACAATAGCAACAAACAATAGACATGCCTTTTAATTCCTAAGCAATATTTACTACTCTGCTTTTTTCAGGTCTCAATCAGTGGTGGAACCCGGAACATTAAAACATGAAGAACAGAATGTGAATGAGAACACCCAGCCACTACTCGCTCTAGACTGAAATTGAAATCACTGCGAAATACAGCTGTATCCTCAGACTTCAGTGGCCGACAAACCTTTTGAAGCAAAAGACAGGTTTAATACACATTAACGTGCATTCAGCTTGAAAAATCAGGCTCTCCATCTTTGTGGAGCAAGTAATGATTATCACCAGCCATGTGTCTGTGTGTCCAAAGCCAGAGGTAAAAGATTCCTTGTGGCCCAGAACAATAAGTGAACAAGTCTGATTGTAAAACAATTTTTCCCTGATTTTAAGAGTGCATTATATTAATAATGTCTGAAACATGGAGATTGCTTTCAGTGATCTGTCACTGAAAGATAGATCCATTGAAGTTCCCTCATACTATTTAGGCAGAGATTTCCAGTTTTGTTTAAATAAAAATTAGAAGGTGTGCATGTCTGTGTATATACACATACATATGTATTTACACACCCACTTTAAAGATGTCTTGAGTTTAAATATTGCAGTAAGAAGCCTAACTTAGTTTGCAGCACAAAAATATCACCTCCAAAGTTTCTCCTCACCTGATTACCTCCCATCATCACCAGCAGCATGGCACTGATCATGTTTATCATGCATAATAGAAATTGTAGTCTAAACTTTTTGGAGGGCATCCAGCTGGGGAAGGCATGTGTGAAATACATGCAAACACAAGTAGGTGTCTTGAATGTCTTGGGAGATTAATATTCCAGTTCAGGACCTTTTATTTAGGTCAACTGAACTCAGAGGAATTACTTAAGTATCTTTTCTCCTGCTATCAGTTAAAGATATAGCCAAGGAGGGCTTGACTGACTGCAAATATAGGTTATATTTATAATAGAAAGGAAAAGCTTGGGATCAGTTATTCAATACACCACCCTTAGAAAGAAAAGTGGAACAAATAATAAAATATAGAGATGAAAAACCAAAGAACAGGTTGCCATTCTAGACTTCGTTCTGCTTTGAGCCCCATCTAATTCCTATAAAGAAATAAAAACAAACACTATTTTTTTTGCAAATCAGCTGTATCAACATTGTTTTTGTTGTAATTTTATTTCTTCAAATAGAGAAAACACTTTAGTAGCATATCACAATAGTACATAACAGCATTTAGCAATCTTTAATCAGAGAACATATTCATAGAGAGGCTTACTCACTGTCTTAAGGATGGCTATGCAACTCCTAGGTGGTGCTCCAAAGCAATGATGTTTTTCAGCAGTGGCTATATATGATTAATCAAATCATAATATGTTGCTATCAACTATCCTTATTAGGGACATCTTTTAGGAACTGACTAATCTATTGTATAGTGGTAAAGATGTTGCCTGTACATTTTGTTGCAGAGAAAGTATACTTTAGTTAATATTTCTATTGTCCCAGAGCTAAGTATGAAAATTACTCTCTTCTATGAAACCAGTCACGCTCAATCAATTCTTTCGTTCTTCTCAATGAAATACAGGGTCTCCATTCATAAAGGAAGCTTACTCTGGACTGCTGCTTGTCCTGGTCAGAAATTAATTTGTTTTTATTAACCCTTTACCATGGAGCCAACAATGAAACTGTTAATCATAGCCAAGCAAATGAGTTTTTAATCAATGTATGGTTTAGGGAAAATGTGCTGCACTTATCTTTCACTAGGATTTTATACCCTCCAAAAACAATGACCAAATGCATTGTAAATTTTGAGAAAAGGCTGCAACAAGCATTAAAAACTTATCTAAAGATCTGTGTAATTTATTTTCATAATCAAAGAATATTTGGCTCTTGCTCCTTTTTCACTCATTAGAATGTTCTTGCCTCCAGTGAGTTTTGCACACTAATCGATTATGTCCACTTATTTCAGCTGTCTCTCACTTTTTTTCCCTGCCAAATGGGTTAGGGTTAGAGCCATCGATCGATGTTTGACAGTTACCTCTGTACATTTATGTACCCGCTCCATAATCGCAACCAGGACATTGCACCAATCGATTATGCCTGTGGTGGACAAACCTTGTTGGACATGAGATTTTAACACTAATGGCGGGCAAAAAAGGAAACGAGCCAAGTGTATTATCAGTGTGTTATAGATAAAATCCACAGACATCCAAGTTAGCAATTTCAACTCAGCTAATAAATCTTGAAATGGTGAAAGAAATAAAGCCTGTGTGTAGATTATAATATGCTTTGAAAGTATTGCAGGGACATCTTTCCTAAAGAATCTTGGTATTACTAAGGTTGAAGATGAATAAGCCTTAAGTTTGCAGTACTGCAGCGGATCACATTTTTATGGGCTTCTTCCAGGAACAGCTTCAGAGAGGAGCATAAAAGCATTATAATGAAAAGAGTTAAAACTGAGACGTATACACACTTTGCATTAAGGATTTCTAGCAGCTATAGTTCAAGGAAACTATGCTTCATTGCTGTGAGCCAAAAACTAGATTTGATACCCAAACAGAATGTGCGGTATATGATAGGGCTACCAAAATTATTTGGTAATAGTAAAATTTGGTAAAAGTATGAACACTGAACCTTTCCTTATTTGTTAATGCAGCTATTCTCAGCATTTCTGCACCAGATTGAAAAAGGGTACAACTACTTTAAGGAATTAGTTCATGAGGAATCCTGAAAAAAAGGGCCCTGCGTGAATGAACAGGAGAGAGATGACGCCCAGAGCTCCTCTTTAAAGGATGCACAGCCCCAGGGCACATGTCTCTCTGTGTGCATCTGTACATGCATGCATACACACAGGCACACACACACTCGTTTGAAAGCTCTTGAATTTAAAGCACCATACACCATACCACAAGGATTCTTAAATTTTGAGATACTGTATCACCCTAAAATAATAATAAATGTGTGTGTGA